AATCTAAATCGAGGTCCTTCTTGATGTGCCCGGATTTGAGAGCAAAGTTGCGCTCATCCCAGCCTTCTACCCGCTTTTGGGGCTCCAGCGGTAAAGAGACGAGTAGCGAATGTCAACATTCAACAGCCTTCTTGGTCTCCTGGAGAGGAGGATGGTGAGAGCAAAGTCATGCTTGTTGACGTAGTCAGTAGCTAAAGGCCACCACCGCACAGATTACGGTTTTGCGGATGGCTTCGTCCAGGTATTTCCCCAAAAATATTATACAACGATTGCTAACGTACTGCATTTCATTTTCTGTTTGAGGCATATAGCATGCCGGGAATATCCCCATGGAGGATTAGTGCTGCAACTTTCCTCAACAACTTGTCCATCTCGTATAGATATCCACGCATTCTGTACCTCTGAAAAATATGATGATGCCCAAAGATTGAGTCACAGGCAATTCAAGGTCAAACCAAGTTAGCAGACTGATTAACACTTGCTTTTGAGAAATAAGGCCATATCAGACTTGACTATACATACCACCGGTTTGAACTGATTTGATTGTCTGATTTACGTCAATGCCTGTATCAACCTGGCCACAAAACACCCCCCTTTCCCGGACACTTGCAGTCTACCGAGTCAGGACGGGAGACAAGGGCACATTGATACCGATATGCTCAGTAGGTGCCGAAACCACTTGTGCACATTTACTACCTTCACCTATACATGTCCTTGACATGTATTGGCATTACCTCTATTCACATTGCGGCGCACTTGGGTAGGAGTTTGCAGCCAGTTCGTGGTGCTGATAGGAGGGTTCTTTGGAGTTCAAAGGGTGGTTTATTAGATGAAGGAAGAAGACTAAGACAAAAATACCCAGAAGGGCACCTAAAATACCCCGTCAACAACCAGGACACCATTGAACCTTCCAAGTTGCTTTGAGACGTACCGAGTAAATTGAGACCTTTGGGAACCAAGTCAGAAACATGAAGTCGCCAACTTTATGTTTCGAAAAATCGGGTTGCGCCAGCTAGAAACGAATAGTTGGAAATCAAGACACACCCTCAATGCAACAACTGCGTAAGAAGAACAATGTTCTGGAGAATGTGATTATTATTATCATAACTCATCAATCATATGTCCAGCGCCTCGCTAGCAGCGATCAAATATGACACACACACATAATGGGTATCTCTCCCCCAAACACGCCAGCAACTCCATCCACCCATTTACCTCTAAATCACCATACTACCTAGTACTCAACCTTTCCAAAAACCTTGTCAAAGCCCGTCAAAGTAAGGCGGTAATGCACCTTGTTTCCCTCCTTGACCCTCTCCACCGCCTCCTTGCACCCATCCTCTCCAAGCTGCACCGTCTCCACCTTGGGCACGATGCCCTTCTCGGCCGCCAGCTGCAACATGGCCTTCATCTCCTGGTGATTACCCAAGTGGTTGGCCGACAACTTGGCGCCGTTCTGCATGAACGCCAACACCTCGAGCGGGGGCAGCGGCTTGTCGGGGATGCCGCACATGTGGAACTCGCCGCCCACCTTGAGGACCGAGAGGTACGTCTTCATGTCGAACTTGTGCGTCGCGTCGGCGCAGTTGAGCAGGAAATCAAACTTGAACTTGTACGGCTCGGCCCACTTCTCGTCGTCGCTGGTGACAATGACGTTTTGCGCGCCCAGGGCCTTGGCGTCGTCGGCCTTGTAGGCTGAGTGCGTCAGCACGTGCACCTCGGCGCCTAGGGCGCGCGCCCACTGGATGCCTAGGTGACCGAGACCGCCGACGCCAATGATGCCGACGGTCTTGCCGGGGCCGACGTTGGCGCGCACAAGCGGGGAGTAGGTGGTGATGCCGGCGCAGAGGAGGGGCGCGGCGAGGTGGGAGGGGATAGCGTCGGGGATCTTGAAGGTGAAGTACTGGTGGGCGCGGATGTGAGAGGCCCAGCCGCCGTGGGCGGTGGAGCCGTCTTCGTAGTTGGCGTTGTAGGTGTCTTTGGTTTATTAGTGTTGTGCTCGGAATATTTAGTAAAGGAGGAGGAGGAGGGTAAACACATACCAACCATGTGAGGGCAGTACTGCTCGTTCTTGCTCTTGCAGACATCGCACTTGAGGCAGGACCACACCTGGGCACCAACGCCGACGCGATCGCCCTGCTTGATCTCGGTCACATTCTTGCCGACCTTGATGGCCTTGCCGACCACCTCGTGGCCAACACAGAGAGGACCCTCAAAGTCACCCCAGCCGCCGGTTACTGTGTGAATGTCGGACCCGCACACGCCGCAGCACTCGATCTGGACGTCGATGTCGTCATCGCCGAAAGGCTTGGGCTTGAGCTCGTGGCGGTGGAACTGGTTCCAGGTCTTGGGCGAGTCAACGACGAAGCCCTCGAAAGTCTCTGGGTAGCCCATTTTGATATGTTGATTGGTGGTGTGATAAGGGTGGGTTTCGTGTAAGTGATAAGACTTGTGGTTGTTGTTAAGGTCTGGTAGTGCCTGGATTCAAGGAGATCCTTTGTCGTCCAGAGATGATTATTATTATGATAGTAAAAGATGAAAATGAAGAAGTAGTGATTCTCGCGACTGAAAACGAAGAACCGAAATGTATTTATATCTGCTGGTGGCCTGCAACGGCTTTTGCATATGATGCTGCTTGTTGTGATGTCCCTAACAGCAAACAAGTTGGAGTTGGCTGTTAGCGCGTGGAAATGACGTCTTTGACTTGACGACCGACGGTCTTGAACTGGAGCGACTTACAAAGCATAGTGTACACTGCCAGAATGGGATTTGTAAGATTACTCTATTGGGAAAGTCTTCACGAGGAGGCTCCATTCCATCGAGATGAATATGATCAGATCGGTTTGACGGCAGCGATCCGCGGCGGGTAGTCTCGGTAGTGTTGATTCAGGAAAGGGGGTGTTGGTTGTGTCACACACACTTCAGGGGTGTTATCGTGAAGCTGGGCTTGCTTGGCAAGTACACAACCCTAACCCATGGCTGATGCATCAAAGTGTACTGTGTACACTAGAGTATGTAGGGGTCTCTGGGCGCCAAGTTTTCTCTGCCCCCTAGTCTACTCACCCATGTCAACAATCCACCATGTCATAGTGTAATCACATTCAAAGAGATGCCATGATCAAGTTGATGATGTCATCGAGAGGCTCTCTTATTACCTATGCTCTCCTGAATAAGTAGAATGGAACTGATGCGCTATCAAATTCCAACCCAGCCACCGGATAGACTCGGGGCTTCACACCAGAACCAAGTCTAAACTGCCTTCAAACAACGTAGCGTAATACTTTTGGCAGACTTCCAGGTAAAGAAATACCGATGCTCCCTTCCAAGCATCATGTGTATACTTATACAACCCCGTTCCATTTCGCGGGGATCTTCTTGTTACTCTCTGTCTCCTGAGTCCTACCTTGTTAAAGGCCCAAAGATGTTATGTTTCCTCAAGTCAGTCGATCGGCTGCAGGTCCTATGTTAACTGCTTCAGAACGCTGATTGTGGGCGCTAGGCTCAGGGGTGCTTGTTCTCAAAGTTGTTCATCAATCCATGCGTGTATCTTGTGTTCCGTGCCTATTTCTGCACACGGCCATAACCCTTTCAGGGTGTTGCGTCGCTTGTATCCATATCTTGTAAATCTCTTTCCTTCAATCTGGCGAACCCTGGCGTCAGCAAGATCGGTTATTCGCTTACTCAATGCTGAGCCGTGTGATCCCATCATTGGTGTCAACCATGCCTTGGAGCCCGACCCTTTTGCCTGTGCTGAAACTGGGTCTTCTATGGACTGGCGTAGTAGCTCCTCCCACCACCACGGTCCCATTTTGAAGATTTTCGTGTTGTTGCCTAACCCCATCCCCATTGACACTACCCGGTCGTGATGAACTCGGGCCCCAGGGTGCTAGGTCCCTCTGCATTGGGCTCTGCAAGATCGGTGAGCCCATTCCGGGGCTGACGGCTCGTCGTTTGAAACTCATCGGGTCGAGGTCGTCATCTCGGCGTCGCTTGTTGTTGATTCGGCGCGTAATTTCGGCTGCCGTGGGAACACCATTCGCGGCGCCCGGAAAGCTTGTGCTGGCTAATGTGGTAGATGAAGATGATGAATTTGTTGGCGGATTTCCGGATGGCGGTAGAACAAAAGGCGTGGGGCCTTGCCTCAGTTGGCTCTCGGATCTCGAAGACGGCGAGTCCATGCTCATATCGTCCATGCTCATGGCTGATGATGAGCCCCTCGGCAGTCCAAAATTTGGCGGTGTTCGCATCCCGTTGCTGCTTGCCCCACTCTCCGAAAACGTGTCCCAAAACATCTTGCCCTTAGAGTTCTTCAGGACCTGCTGTTTGAAGCTACTGCTGCCAGGTATGCCACCGGGAATACCACCAGGCGTTGTATTGCCATTACCACTGCTGCTTCCATTCGAGTCCATCATCATCGCATCGACATCGTCCATACTGTCATGGGTTGGCATCAGGTTCGGACTGGTTAAAGCGGAGATTGGTAACCTGGGTTCTAGATCCATGTCACTCTCCCGTACTTGTCGGACAACTTCGGCTTCACGCTTGACTTCGGCATCGATAGGTGCGCTCTCCTCGAGAAGGGCAGCGCGGATGCGGGCAAAACCCTTGGTCTTGGGCTAGGTATTTACGGTTAGTCCATGTCAATAGCGAGCAAGAAAGGTAGTGAGAATAGTGCCACGTACCAGCAAGTTTCCCCTATGACGGGTCACAGTCCGCCGAATGACTCCTGGTCGGGACGGGCTGTCGACCGCTTCAAGCTGCCTGCTAGGATCGTCGCTCTCACTGCCGGAGATGTGTAGCTGATTGGCCGCCCAGCTGATGCTCTCCCTCCTCGGCTGCGGGCCGTCCAAGCCTTGTGGCGGAGACATGGACATGGCCGCACCCATGGGAGTGGTTGGATGGAAGCCCAAACCCAGCGGTGTCTTGTGTTTCCGGCTCTTTGGCTGCTTCCTACGCTGACGTTGCTGGAAACTTAGTAGATTGTTGACTGCTGGAGAGCTGCCACCAGGCATCCATGGGTGCTGCCCGCCCATGGCCATCTTGTTTGCTGAGGGCGTGGTAACAATGGGCTCCTCCATGTCCTCGTCCATAAGGTCGTCGTCGTCCGAGCTAGACGAGGTGTCGGTGAGTAGGGCATGGGGAGCCTGACTGCCCAGGGAGCTCGAGACATGCGCACGCTCGTGGCCGCGGTTGTTGGCCATGAGGGACCACAGCGAGCTTGACGTCTGCTCCATGGCGGTGCCTTGGTCGCCGGGCCAGCGACCAGGACCGGCGGGGATGTTCATGGCCCTCGAGCCAATGGTGGGAGAAGAGCTGGGCGAGGCCTGGTCGACGACGGTGGAATGGTGGAGGGTGGTGGCTGCACGGCTAAAGTCTAGGCCACGTGAGCGACGGGGCAGGATGTTTGGCGAGGGCGAGGCGTAGATGTGAGAATGGTCAAGCTTTGGTGAGAGCGGGGCAGGGGCGGCGGGTTTGACGTAGGCGGAGGGGGTGGAGGCGGAGGCGGGCGCTCCCGCAGGGTGGGATGGGGGTGGTTGATGGGACTGCAACTGGGACTGGGAATGGGCTTGTGAAAGCGCCAACGGTGGAGTGGTGGCATTCAGGTTGTTGATATCCACGTGCGGCTGTTGGAGACGTGCATAACCTGAAAGGAGTGGTGCATCACCTTCACCACCAAGTGGAAGCTGGGGTAGTTGCAGCGCTAGGCCTCTGACTGCAAACCCCGCGCGGACGGGAGTTGATGGTTGTTGCACAGAGAAAGCGTTGCCGTCTGCCCCTCGTTCTTTATCCCGGATGGCAATATCATCCTGGGACTTTCGTCGCGGATCGCAGAAGATGTGCGGTGCTGGCGAGAGCTTTGGTGTTTCCTTTGCGCCGCCGTCCGAAAGGGATCTTGTTTTGGTCAAGAAACCAGCTCCAGCTCCAAGGCCCCCGCTTTTGTTGTTGTTGGTGTTGGTCGTACTACTTGTCGCTGCGGTGTCCGCCTCCTCTTTGCTGCTGTTGTCGTCAATCACCGCCACATCGTCCATGAACCTGTCCACGTCCGCCATTCTCGATTCTTCTTCCATTTGTCTGAGGCGTCGCGTGATTGGGGCGAAATTGGCTCGGTCCTTATAATGGGCGCGTATAAAAGTGGTGCAATAAGCCCAGACAGCTGGGTACGCGGCGCGTCTCGTGTCTCGCCTCTCGGCTCGGGGGGGCTATGCGGTCGAGGGATGCAGTGTTGAATCTTTGTTCGATGCCGTCGTATTTCGTAACTGAATAGGGGGTACGCAGTCGTCTAGAAAGCGCAGGGCGCCATCGGGAAGAATTCCCACGCGAACTCTCGTTTGGAACCTGGAAGGAATAAGAAAAGTGAAGAGACAGAGCAACGTCGTTGAGGGGGTCGATGAGGTAGACGTCGTCTGGGGGACGTCCAAGTGCGGCTAAGTCGACTGGTGTAGTTGCGGGTAGAGCTGGGGCTCCAGGCGCTAATACCACCCACTAGAAGTGGCCCTGGTCAGCGCCTTCTGCGCCCTACGGAGCCGCTTTCCGGGGCCCCCTTGCCCGGTCTGTGTTGGTCTTGGCCTAGCGTAAGGTACCTTTTGTCAAGACGGTATTTCTCATTGCATTACACCCGAACCGGGCAACACCGTGAGGAAGGTTCCCCTCCTTTCCTTGTTCCACTTCAATTGCAATGCAGAACATCACGGCAAGTCAAGGAAGAGTTTGAGAAAGTTTCTTGGATAGCCGGATAATAGGTATCCAAGCGATGTGAAATCCACACTCTCCAGCCCCCAGATTGGTTCCCGGACCACACTGTTCGGGAGATCGCCGTCCCATTTTGCGTCATTTCAAACAACGGAAACAAGCGAGGAAACATGTAAGCTGACAATGGAACCCCTCAGCATCAGACTGTGCGAACCAGACACGCCAACATTGTTCGAGAACTCGGCCGCTGTAGCGTACCTGGCTTCGGAATTGCACATGAACCCTGGAGTGTGGGGGCACAATGTTCAATTGACCCGAAATCCTGGCACCAATTGTCTCATTGTTACGCCCCATTGGCCATTTGACTTGTGTCTTGTTGTTGGGATTATAGGATACGCTCTCTCGATGCCGGGAATTGTGTATGTGGAAGTGTCGGAGATTATTTGTGTAGAGGGGAAACGGGCAGTCACTTCACACACTCTACAATTCCAACAGTATTGGATGTAACGGAACCAACAAGCAAGGCCCGTGATAAATACCGACAGGCACGAATAACGGTAAAATACATCTAAGCTCTTCAAAATTTCAACACCGCGGTAAGATACCTCGACACCGCAAGCAGCACCAGGCAACCAAAATACCTAAAACAAAACAACACCGTCTTTTATCGCGGAGAGAGCAAACAGGTCTCATCACGTCATTGAAAATGGCACCAAAAGAAACCAAACAAAAATCCATTACCAAGAAATCCCACCCAGGCGGAAAACCAAAGGGACCAAAACCCCCAAAGCCCCAACCGCGCAAACCACCACCACCACCACAATCAACAGCAACATCCCACATCCAGACACCAAAACTACAACCACCCCTCCCAACAACCTCCCCCTGCGGCACCCTCCCCCTAAACTGGCCTTCCAACCTCCCCTACCTCACCGCCCCTCTCTTCTCTCCCCTTCTTACCCCCTCCCACTACTCAGCCCTTCGCACTCGTCCACCAGCAGATTCCATCGAGCCGCTTGACGAGTTACCAGCCGATTATGTTGCAGGACCATGCAAAAAGGCAGTCATCTTGCCCATCACAGACAAGAGACATCCAGCCTGTGGCCAAGCAGGTCTATTTGCCGCGAGTGACTTGAAGCCGGGAGAGTTGGTGGTGAGGTACTTGGGGGAGATTCATCCGGGAGGGGAGGAGTGGGGTGGGAGGCTGGTTTTTCCTCCTCGCGAAGATGAGGAGGAAGAGGAGAGTGCTGAGGATGGAAAAACAGATGAAGTGAAGCAAATGGCGGAGGAAGAAACAGAAGAACAGGTTAAGTACAACTACAAACAATCCGACTACGACCTCTGGCTCGACCACGCCCTCGACCTCGCCATCGACGCCGCGCGGTGCGGTAACGAAGCTCGTTTCGTCAATGACTACCGCGGCGTTCCCAACCCTGCCTTCTCACCGGGATATAAACCCCAAAGCAAGAAAGAAGAACTTTTCATGAAGCGGCCGAACGCCGAGTTCAAGGTGGTCTGGGATCCGCTAAGGCAAGAAAGGGCTATGGCGGTCTATGTCCTGCCGGCAGGAAAGAAGGCTGTCGGAAGGGTGAGGGAGGTAGGGATTGCGAGGGGGGAGGAGGTGGTGGTTAGTTATGGAAAGGGGTTTTGGGAGGGGAGGAAGGCAGAGGAGGAGGAGGAGGGGTATGAGGGTTAGATGTGTGTGTTGGGGGTAAATAGAGCTTGCAGTGAGAAACGAAATTTGAGTAAAACAAAAGATTAGAGTATGCCAAGCGGTCATCGGTGTCCAAGGTTGAGCATGTCGGGATGCTATCACCATGGCCGGTCCAGACACCTTGAACCCTAACCCTCTCACGACAATAGTGTACCTCTACTTGTAGGAAAGGGGTTCAGTCCTGTTCGTTGTCTTGGATGTCTGATCTGCCCCAGGGGCAGGCTCGGCAAGCTCCCAAGTGATCTACAACTGTGTAACGCAATCTGTCGGTAGGCTCGGGACAGATCTGTTTCTGATCCTAAGGCTGGTTTCGCTTCGGTTTGTTGTACTAGAAAGTTTTTTTGGGATATGTCTTTTCGCGTCTTGGTCAACTTGCAGAGGAAGTCTAGAATATGGAGAGGGTCGCCATGCTGTGGTTTTGGTTCGTGCAGAACGAAACTACCCATCATCTGACAACTGGTACATATTTGTATGGCTCCAAATCTCCATCACATTCGAGATGTCGGGCTCTTGTTATTACATCAAATTCAAACTTCTTGCCATCTGCAGGTTTTACGAAAACAATCAAAAAGTCGAGCCCCTTTTTATGAAGTGATATGAGGCCAAGGTTACATCCAATAGTTGGTTCCGATTGGTGCACGCTGCGGAGCGGCGTTTTATGGAAAACGGGACAGAAAGGAACCACTGAGGTCCGGGCCGGTGGACTTGGGTGGAGTAAGACCATCCAACAGTGAGTTGTGCCTGCGTAGAGGCTCACCGCCAGCTGGACGACAGCTGTTGTTGTGACGTGAGTTATTTGACGGATGGGAATACGTAAAACGTTGGGGAAACGTTGAGAAGTGTACAGATAACATGGAGCAAACCTAGCAGGAATTGTGTTTTGTGTTCACGAGGGCTTCGATTTCCCCGCCGTCGACTCCAATGCGGGGAGCTAAAGGTCGGAGTCCAAGCCCATGGAGGAAACTTGGATCATGTCTGTTGCCGTGTGATGCAAGATGGATGGGTCACAAGTTGAACTGGGCTATCGCGGGTCGAGATCAAGAGCGATGGTGTACTTTTCTGGGTCAGCAGGTCTACAGTACCTAGATGGTTCGACTGACTCGGCTGCAACTACAAAGTCCGTCAGTGGTCTAGACAGCACGGTCCCGTGGGCGATATGATGACCCGGAGAATTTGAGTGAACAGTTGAGTGATCATGGCTGCCTGTCCTCGCCTTTACGTCCGATAGCTGTATATGGCAAGACGGACGGGGACCAGGTGCGATGTCCGCAGCGCATTGGTAAGGTCCAAGGATAGGGGATATAGTCATCCTTGAGGATGATCAATCAGAGTCGGGATGCTTGTGGCCAAGATGTCTTTCCGGTTGAAAACGGTCGGTGGGCCGTTGTCGCGCACCCTCAAACATGGGAATCCAGAACAAACCAGGGAGAAGACAAGGCTTCACCATGCAAGACAGAGCTGATAAAGACTGGACCTCCTTTTCTAAAAAGCCCGTGATAATGGACGGCTGGCCAGAAGATGGAGGGTAGGATGGTTCTAAGCGACCTGCCTATCATTCTGTATCGAATTAGAGCCGATTGGGAGGTCAAGAGCGATTTAATGCAAGGCGGTGATGGTGACCGTGATAAGATGCCCTGGATGCTGCATTGGCCGTTGAGTTAGTTGGTGGTGTGCACTCCCTCCCCGTCACTAATAAGTAGCCAGTAGTGTACAATCATGCCGGCAGAGAGGGTGTTCATGCGGTGTGGTGCGCAAGGCGACTGACTGACTGCATAAAGATTGAGACTGGAGTGGAAGGATGTGAAGATGGATCATGAGTGTCAAGTGAACATAAACAGTTGAAACTTGTCTTTTTAATGTGAGACACTGAAGACGATGGGGTTCCCCTGCCCAAAGAAGAGGTGTCCTGCTTCTCCCGAATCATCCACCACGGCCCGCGCTTTGCCAACTTGGGCCATAGCGCGTCGAACCCCCCCCCCCCCCCCAAATGAGGGTCCGGTCCCCAGCAGGGGAGCTCCAGACCCCCCAATTCGCTGGTCTATCACGCATTGCTTCCCGACTTTTTGTCCCCTTTCGGTTTTCCAGCCCCTTTCTTTCCTCTTGTTCTTGTAAACAACAAGACACAACTTTCCTTCGAGAAGCAAAGGTTTTCCTTCTTTTCCCCCCCTTTGTACTTCTTTTTGTAATTATTTCTTCCCCTGGGCTGTCCTAAGTACCTAGCTTCAGGACCCTTCCATCCGATTTCTTCTGTTTTCCCCTCGAGTCGGTCAAAGCGAGGTTATCATCCCGTCTTTGAATTCCAAGGAGGACGAGAAGAACAGACAAGAAAAAAAGGTAAGCGCCTCTAACCATGTTTCTGCTGCCAGCTGCCAGAGGCTTTTCTGGCATTGGCTTTGCGCTTTCGCCCCCCGCGTCCGTGAAGTTGGGACTTGTTTCACCGGTTGTAGTCGTGTACTTGCCCGCCGGAAAGAAAAGCGGCGCCTGAGCTTGTTGACCGCAAACTGAAGAGCTCCCGTTGTGCTTAAATACACACTGCGGGGCCATCATAAAACTCATGTTGGATAGCAACAAGTTGCTGACCTGTTGGAACACCACACAGAACGTCAGGGTATCCCGTTGATCTTACGCACTCGACTTACACCCGACTCCTACCATCAACAGTTC